GCGAATCGGCAGATATAACATGGTTTTTAGAACGGCCAGATAAACCAAGTGCATATTATGGACCATTTGTCTGCGCCAGCTGTCCCTATTTTTCGGTTGCTATGCGTTTAAGAAATAATCAGACGCCTATCGATAGTAAAACTTCCGAATTGGAGCGCCAGTGCGACTGTTTCATTTTGGTACGGAAAAACTGTTGCTTCTTTTGGAAGCTTCGGAAGATGCAAACACAAATAACGTAGCAGCCAGGGTAGAATTTAACAACCAACATTCCTCTCTGAAAGGGAACTAAGCACGCATCATTCCAGGTCCATTGACGGCTAAGAAGTTGATCCCGCACTCTTGTGCAATACTGAAGACCAGTGAGGTTTCTCTGGGGGACAAACGCACGGGTGAACATTTGAGGGTTGTTCTCGGAACAGACAAGCGAACAAAATTGGTATAATTCTCCTTGTTTTGCTGCCACAAAGTCTGAATTCGAAGTGCTCCATGAAGAATGCGCGCACGGCAGTTTTAGCGGGCAAACTATTGAGATTCCGGTCAGCGAACACTGTTGATGTTGAACACTGATGCCATGCTGCCGATGATGATGATTTCGGTCAATTCTTTTCATCCAACTGCCGCACAGAGGAACTTAGAGCAAACTATCAGCATATCGTCCAAAAAATCGGACGTAAACTTGTGTTTTGTCCCCTATTGGTGCGAAATCTGCTTCACAGTGGTCCTATAGAGAAGGCGAGAAGCAAGCTTTTTTCTTGGTGACAGACCAGCCGATCGCATTTGTTTGACTAGTTCAACAGTAGTTGTGTACTCTTGCGCTTCTATGAAGATGTTGCTTTCGAGGACGGTGACCGCGGATTGCAGCGTTCTACTACCATCGCAGAGTCATAGACCTTCAACGATGGTGATGCTCCCGGTGAGGTAAGCCCTCAGGACAGGGCCTCAAATATGTTTTGAACTATTTATTATTATTCCCTTATCGAAGGAAAGGGAAGAAGCGGCAAAATGCACACCCAACGCAAGCTTTCAGTTGAGTTTGGTCAGCTGCGCAAAATATAGTGGCAAATGTCACCGACTGCTCAGCCACAAGCGTTAGCCTCGACGTCGGGGGTTGCTAAGTGAGTTCCACTACCATCGACTAATCAAGCATGGCGAACTTAGCATTAAAGATTTTACTGCATAGGATAGCTGTAGTAAAAAGAATCACGGGAGAATCTCTTGAAATCTGAAACTGCCAGCCTTTACCTACATCGTTCCAAAGTAACTAGTCAGATTGTGGATCCCTTTTGGTCGCTTGCACCGGAATAAAGCGAACAACTAACCGTACTGTGAATTTCGCCACATAATTATCCCCACATATAATTCTCATGACGCTTGCGAATACCTGACCATCCAATGCCACGTAACCTTAGCAATGGTTTTAGTTTTTGGTTAAAATCGGTCGATAGGATCACACAGCCAGTTCACCAAATTTGTTACCCTGGCACCTAACTTTCTTAAATTTGCAGTTTATCACGTACCAAATAGGGGCGCCGTACTTTAATTTTCGTTGTTGTGTTGTTACTCACCGTCTCCAACTTGTAATGATCCGATTTGCCTATGCTTAATCGTTCCGTTAATTAAGAAAAACCCAAGAACTGTGTTTCTCTGCCCCGGGTGCGCCACTTTAGGCAAGATCGCATCCACATCGGAGGATGCTCACTACCTGTGTTACTGCATGTTCCCGATCAACCTCAGGTACCCAAACATCCACTCAGTCGCGCTCCTCTTCTGACTGTACCATTATGATCTAGCACATGGTACGCCACCAAAACTAGTTTCATGTGTATTCATCAGTATCTACCATCTATTTTCAACCCACACATAGGACACTGTCTTTAGGGTATTCTTGGTCAGTAATCACGCGCATACCATTTCTTATGCAGACATTTTACCTCCCGGAACACCATTTGCACATTCTCCTTGAAGTGCAGATCTGGTGCTGAGAGCGTCTGGCGCCTGCTATCGTATTTCACCTTCACCAGCGCCCATTTTTCACTACCCTTTAACTCGAGCTTTTGTGCCTAGATGACTTCGGCCTCGTCCCTTCAAGCTGGATTCATTCATGGGTACATATGCAGGTTCTGTTTAATGCATGTTGGTTGCTTTGCCGAGGCCAAAACGAAGCCACGGTTCTTGCTTTTTGATAATCGTGCTACGCTCTCGAATCACACGCAGTACGCACACACAAAATGATTGGTCTGAAGATACGCGATGTATCACCCAGGGCCCATTTAGTTACACACATGAAATATTGTGGTGCTTACCTGTCGTCCTTTGGCTTTAGTGCATGTGATCTGAAAATCCTTTTTCTGGTCCTGTGGCCCAAATTGTAGCTACTGTTTCACTTGCCCACTCAACGGTATGTCTTTTGAACGGCTGTTTGATATTTGCTTGTTCAAGCAGTAAAACACGTTTAAATGGCTGATCGCCCCTGAAGCTGGATAAAATATCGCGCATCTGGAGTTCTTTCTTGACGCACAGGCCACAACTTAAACTCATTTCCGGATTGACACCTCACAGATCTGATAGTACACATGAGGAATGAAAACCCCATGTGGTGGTCGGATACGCCCTGCAGGAACGATCTCTTATCTTGGTTGAACCATTGTACGTTCGTATTCTTGAAACCATTTCAGTCTCGAGACTGGCCATCATTTCAGGAAATACACAAAAGAGACGCCGTCGTTGTCCTCTGAATAGCTGCAAGTTTGGATTTGTCCCGACTGCCATTTGACTGACGGTGGTACCTGAGATAGAATAAGGAGAACTGTCTCTACGTCTAATTTTTAAAGTGCATGGGGCAGTCAGAAGATATTGACACCCATGGCTGACATCGTCGCTTTAACGGCTCCAAGCCTCAATTATTCTGTAACTGATCACTTCCACTGGGTTAATGGCTATCTTCCTTGCTTGTTACCACATTGGCTAACTGTCCACTTAACAAACATTCGCAAAATTCTCTCACCCTTGCGTTAAGTCTCCTGGCTGACTAATTCTTAATGTAAAAAGAAAAAACTCATTGTACCATCAATTTGGCCCTCTCGATCACCGTTTAAATGAACATGTTCGCAGAACAGCTGTACACTTACGCTGATTTGTTCTACATCTATTGACTTACATTTATTAAGCACCAGTCTGCATTGGAGTTCCTCTGGGCCCTGTTTCACTACTACCCCCATTTCACCATCTTCATCAACAACAGCCAAGATACGCTTTCAAGTTCACATCTCCCTATTGCGAACGACCTGAAATCCAATATCCATCGGACTGGAGCCTGCGTTCGGACGACGAAAATTGTGTCCACATGTCGGTCGGAGGAGACTCAGCGAGCGCCTTTGTGATGCATTATGAGAACAGACCAGAAAGTATTACGAAGATTGGAAACAAAAAAGACATTTGTATCTGGCTCTTGCCAAACATGCTCTTTTCCCTCTATCATGAAATATCTGCTCAAAAGGAAGATGGTAATGATTCGGATGATTCCGTGCACCTTCCCCTGAACTACATGACTACATTGACTTCCAGATATTCTGTGGGGCCCATGTCTTGAATAACCTAACCAAGTTGTCTACTCAGAGCGCGAGAAAGGCGTAGCCGTCATTGGGCATGTCAAACGAGCCGTTACTAAGATGTTTGGCACTCTCACACTCTTTGATTGTGGAGCACATCTCGGGGTGCTTGGAATAATTCCCAAGAAACGATGCATTGTGTCTGAAGTACACGTAACGGCATCCTTCTGGAATTCTGGGTGCCTTTTAGACACATCACTGGCAATCGGCTACCAGCTAGTACCGACCAACGATAGAGTCCACAGCTCTTACCAACCAGAGCTCACCTTGATGCCGGACCGGCCAGTGCCGGCCTTCTGACCAATCACATGCGAGTAGGCTTATCGGCCTGTGCAGCACTCAACCGTGGTCAGTGGTGTAGCCTGCATGGGATTGCGCCCAGCGAAATGAGTGGGCACTCACAGTCTCTGCCACTCATTTTTAGAAGGGATCAAGCTTAGTCCTTTAATATGTGTTCTCTTTAGTTGTCCGACACAACGACGAATGCCACCGGACCCCAGGGCAGACGAACCTCGCGAGTGTTTAGTGACCTTTACTGGCACGATTGACGGCGAAGTGGAACATACAACCAGGCCTTGGAGGCGAAGACATGTCCAGTTTGTTCAGAAATCGGGTTGCTACGTATTGAAGGTGATAGCTTTGATTCACGAGCACCACTGACTGCACGACTGAGCCATTTCCGCCAACGTCATTAACCACTGGTGATTTGAGTCCCGGGGCCCCCATTCAGGGAGGCGGCATTTGCCCATCCGACTAAGTTTACTGGTTAGTGTTTTCATACTTCGTTGCCAAGTCATGCACTGTCCACCTCTCGGTCGCCTCCGCTCACCAAAGGGCTGGGAGAAAAGAGCTCTGTGAGGTAAACGGTCTTCTGGCATGCGGTGTACATGTCCCAACCAGCGCAACCTGTGAAGCGTAAGTGATTCATCTATCGCGGGAGGGTTCATTCTTCCTAGGACCATCTGACGTACCTCAGCATTACTAATCCGATGTTCCCACCAAACCTGACCGATGCTGCGGAGACACCGATGATCAAATGCTGACTTCCGTATGTCCTTTGCGCGTAATGTTCACGTTTCTGATCCATATAACAGCATGGATTGCACCACCGCAGTGTAAACTCTTCCCGTGACAGACAAGCTCACTTCACTTCGGCGCGATAGGTGTCGGAGTTTGGCAAAAGCTGCCCTGGCCTTTCCGACTCGAGAAATAATCTCATCTCCAGCCAATCCACCGGAACTACCCAGGTGAACAAACTGCTAATAAAAGATGAAGATAATCGTTTTGCTGTAACATACTTTCTGTGTCTAGCTGTCATGCCACCTGAGAAGCATGAGGGCTGGTAGACTGCCAGGTTTCTCAAGCGTAGACATTAAGAGTTGAGATTCAGAGGTCGAGCCTGAACCACGAATCTCCCGGCCAGTAAATTCGCAGTGTCACTACTGCGTCATCTTGCCGCTGACACTGTTTCTGAAGCTGAGGTGGAAGGGGGTGGGTTTGCACATATCTGTGGTTTTCTGTTGAATTGCTGGCACACTAGATGGCCACACCATGCTAGTCCTTGTTCTTATTACTAGGTATTCCGTAAGGTTCTGCTCGTCGCTCAGAATACTCCAAAATCTTCATCGATAACCTTTCGACATTACTTCAGATAGACTTTTCGATCGGTGCGGACGATCTCAAGGTGTAATCGGGAATCTGGGACTTCGAATATGCTGGCCGAATGCAAGTATCGTTTGACGCAATGCACAACTGCTTCATAAGATGATACCTGCCGATAAGTCGTCATAAATGTTCGATTTTCCTCACCAGCCATCCACCATGTTGGTGGTTTCCTGCTCAAGAATGCTACTAGAGAGAGGGATCTTGGCATTATTGTGCCTCCTGGTACTAAAACAACTCAGCCGTCAACAAGATGTACTGTGCCTAAAGGACTGTGCCATAAGCTGTACCATAAGAACTCTATTCGGACAGCAGATAGTGGTGGTAGTACTTGAAAGCGACTGGAAAGCAATGGTTCGGAAACTAAGATTTTAGTGGCAAACCACCGTCTGTCACGCACTTCGTTTTCTCTAAGTTGTTTACGACTATTCGAGTTACCTAATTTCACTTTTTCAATTGTGAAAGACCCGTGTGTTACTGTGCTACTTGGTCACGATTTTTTTTACCGTAGCCGCATTGTGCTGCCAATGTTAATATCAGTCAGAATATAGTTAGTTTTGGTGGCCAGTCGGAATGGCTTCAACCCCGATGATCACTAAGCAGCACCGCGATACTGCCACGGATGATGGGAGGAACCGAATCCGTATACGACCACATCTTGAATCTGTGATAATTCGCAGATTTTGACGTGTTTGGGCAGGTTTAGGTTCACTTTTATATCTTACAAATTGTGGAAACCTGAGAAGCTAAGGTCTGGGTTTCATAACTTTGCAAGTGAACGTGAAAGTGAGTGGCGCAGAAGTGATTTACCTAACTGGGAGGGATAATCGCGGCACAAGAGAATTTTTGCTGGACCTCCAGTAACGCTAGATCCTAGGCGAACCCATTCATGATTCGGTTCAAAAATACAGTGATTCCTCCTGTAGGGAGAACATCCACCAGGCCGACAGTGATTTCTTCCGTGCGGGAAACTCTCCAAATGTGATTCGGTCCTTTGGCCCACCAGTAAGTCTGACCCCTGCCAACATTTTTTAAAAGTTACTTTCCCTGTTATCCAGTCTTCTTTGAACATCAGCCCTATTTCAATAGTTACACACACATTCTCAGAACAACGAATTACGGGCGAATATTGGCACGGATTGTTGTGTTCGAGTTACTTGGATAAAGCTTGGTCATATCCACAACCTTTATCTGCAAATCAAACTAGTGAATTTCTCCAACTCGGCAGCGCGTACCTTTCAAGGGATTTCGTAGCTGTTATCGCATCTGGCACACGGGACTAAACTGATGAGTTATCTCATATTGCAACTGTTGTTTGCTACTTAGTGTGCCCAGCGCCAGTCACAGCGAACCTGGGTCAGGTCTGGCCGAATGAGAGAAGACGGAAACTCTAACTGTTCACTAGCTACTGGCATGTGAATGTGGAAAACTCGAGGTTTGTTGCGCTCCTGTTTTGTGATCTCAGTAGCACTGCTCAGTTCTAGACAGGACTCTTGCTGAACCAATAGGTATGGTTGACAAAGTTATCCCGGCAGTTGTCTCACTCTCAGTAGCCCGGTCAAAGGTCAGGCCACCTTTGAACTGAAGAAAGCCAAGGTAACTGGTGAAAGTTTGCAACCACGTGTTCGCAAATTTTCAAGTGTCTGCGTTCGATTGGCAAGGCTAGAGGCCAAGTCGGAGAACCACTTCTTGTTCACTAAAAGGTGCCTGAAGCACAGCTCAATTCCCACATCTTTTCTTGTTAAACCACCGGACACGTCACTCGTATTTGCCCGAATAGCATCCTAAGTCATTTCTCAAACACAAGATCCACTTGACTACTCGGCGTTTATGTGATATCCGTCACCACGCATGTCGGCTCGACCAAGACCTTCAGACCGTGCACTATCCCAATCTATGAAGCCGCCAACAAAGTAGCGGGTGTCTCCTTGGAACCAGATGACATTATCCGGGTTTCGATGTCAGTTCGTTATCTACAAATGTGCCGAAAGGCGACTCTTTAGAAATAGCCAAGCGACTGCCACTAGCAGACACCACCTTTTCAGAACGGACACAGATTACGGTATATGAAATAGTGGGAGTCATAAATCTGAATCTCACTCACTTCGTTTTGGACCCCGTGGTTTATACCCATAATCAAGGTCTAGCAGTGGGATTTCCAGTATCCCCAGTTTTAGCAACTATTTAGATGAAAGATTTTGAACAGAAAGCTTTAAACAGCTTCCCGTACCCACTCAAGATATTATGGCGTTATTTAGATGACACTTTCGTCGAGACAAAGTCAGTGAGCCTTACATCAAATTTAATATGGAGATAGGGTCAACTTCGGGTACATTGGCCTTCTTAGACTGCATGACACAAGGTTCTGGTAAAGACCACAGTACACGGGAGGCCAACTGATACTGGGGAAAGTTTAAACTACTCGTCTGTTTTTCCGAAATCGGCATTCGTTCCTATTACCTCATCTGGAGATAGGTCAACTTCGGGTACATTGGCCTTCTTAGACTGCATGACACAAGGTTCTGGTAAAGACCACAGTACACGGGAGGCCAACTGATACTGGGGAAAGTTTAAACTACTCGTCTGTTTTTCCGAAATCGGCATTCGTTCCTATTACCTCATCAACGTTTAGACATGTGAGGGCCATGTGCACAGAAGTTGATTGGACAGTGGCCCAAATTGAAGTAAAGAACAAACTTCGGAGTAGTGGATATCCAAGTAGTTTGATTAGGCATCAATTGCAAAGGGTTTTGGTACCGGTGGTGAAACCCAACAGGAATGCATTTGGACTGCTGTCATTCCATATGAGCAGGGAGATCGGAGGTCATTCGAAGAATTCTAAGCATGGCTTACATAAGAGTAGCTTTCCAGAGGGGAAACATTGCGCTCAGCACTGGTGCGACAGGAGGATCGCCTCCTGGCCAACAGAAGCGGGGACTGTATCTACAAACTTAAATGCAACGACTGTACTAAGGTTCGTGTGTGTGTGGGTGGGGGGGGGTGGCTCAGTGTTTACAGCGCGAGTTTACTGACCGGAAGGTCGGTGGTTCGAACCCGACATCTGCCTCTCGACTTCCCCCGTCTAGGCTTAGGCAATCTCGCAGTATCCCAACCCTCGTACTTCCTTCGGGTAGCGTGACAGTTAGGCACCGAAAGGGTGGTACAGCTGAACGATTACCTAATTTTTTACTCTTATCTATGTATGACAGACGGCCAGGGAACTTCATGCCAGTCGGAGGGCGCAGAAGAAAATTAAACAGGTCGCCGAGAAATGCAGATGGATATTGGGCGTTACTGAGAAACTGGGATGGCGGAACATGCACTGGACACAGGATACAAAACAGATTTAGGAAATGTTGAGGTTTTCAGAGGATGACTGCGGTCCACGCCACAGAGACTGATGAACGAGGCAGTAGAAATCGCCAAGCATCCCAGTGTTAATAGAACAAAAGTTGTAGAACTGGAAAGAGTGTGGAGAACGCTTTGAGTCAGCCGAACTGACACATGTTTGCATGCGATTATCAGGGGGAGTCATCGACACAAATAGCTTGGATCTGAGTTGCACTTAATCCGACTCCCCCTCCTCCCCCCAGCTGAATTGTCGTGGCGCTCACAAGCCCACGCACCAAAAAATCCACCAGTGGCACTGATGAATCATCAATGGAAGCATCTTGAAGATGAAGGAACCAAACCCGATTAAAAATAATTTGAAAACCCCCCAACCCATCAATCGCAATATTTAAGCAACCACACCAACCGACAAGACCCTTTAATTGACATTCAACACTGATCTAGTGTGTTAGTCTGAAGGGGTTTTACTGATTGGTTCTCCGTCTATCGTAACACCTGGCCAACTTGATGGTCTACTCATTTGGCCTGATAAAGCTTTTGCGTCAAAAGCTTAGTTAAAAACCGCCTGTTGGTTACCAGGCTCTTCTGAGTCGGAAGACCAGGATATCTTTTGCCAATCTGCTTCACTCATGGGATCGATGCAATAGGGCTTTTCAGCTCCCCACGCTTACGAGTTTTCCTTGCATCAGATCTAACCTGAGTCAGGAACTCGGTGGCCAAAAATGGAGACATGGAACCTTTCGTTTTTCGTCGATCGATATCTCCGATTCGTTTCTTGGGTCGGATGAGATTATTAAATCGTTGTAATATGTTTTTCTTGTGGAAAACTCACTCGGTGGGCGTGATGATGGCACTACAGATTATGACCATCTGGCCATGCGTGTCGAATGCCGTAAGGTCTATTCTCCCCCTCCCTCGCAATGGACCTTTTGTCCAACCACGTACTGAGTGGAGTGATATGAGGGGAGGTAGTAACCTGGCAGGGAATTATCAAGGCTACAGCCATCAAAAGTCGCATTAGCAGCTCACTTTCCCCTAATGGAACCCTGACAAAGCGTGCATCAGCGCTTAATGACACTGAAAAACATGTCCCAGTCATAAACGAAATTGCTGTAATGCACGCTAGTTATTATCTCCCACCTCCATATTCTTGCATCCTTCAAAACCACCATTGTGCAAAACGACCGGTCGTTATCCAGGAATGCAATCCACCACCGCCGCCACGTAGCTCACATTTTCAATACTTCCGGGGAGTGAAACTGGCGGCTAGGATCATTTTACCACTTGCAGACGGTTCATGGCTGCTCCTAATTATGTGTTGTGTGAAACAAAATTGCCTCTTTTCACAGTTTAAGCTAACCTCCCTCGCTGAAATGATGGCGGTGATTATTCTTACCCTTCTTTCGAACCCTGCATAACACTACTTGGTTGGTGTGATCAGTTCATTGCACCCTAAGCACATCGAGCTGTCCAGACTTTTTCTGTATGCCCTTTTACGTAATTTGATGTGCACTTTTATAGTGTTAAGGTCAGCTGTTGAGATGCTAAATTACCTCTTTATGCCACTCTGTGCATTCACTTCCGTTTAGTTCTAAGCGAAGTACCCCCCCGTTTTAATTTTTGAACTTGTTTTAGCCACCCTTCTTACGGCATCTTGTCCTTACGCAGATCCACAGAGCCCTGGCTGCTTTTGATGTTCTTATGGCTCATTAAGGTGCATGCAGACCAGACCCAACTGATCATCATTAATAGCAAAATACTAGCAGTCTAACTACCATCATCCGTATCATTGGTTATTCGCCTCGATAAATACTCTTCACGCCTGCATTTTCCAACTTTGCTCTATTTAACCGCGCATTATTTTTCATTATAGTCTTATGCCCTAAATGGCTTCTGCCGGTGATGCGCAGATCCCCAATTATGGCGTGGATGAGATGTTGAAGGGGAAGTTGCGTGTAATCATCGCAATTAAACAATTGAAAACCTCCACTTCGTTCAGTGTAAGCAGGCTCATTCCCCAACTAAAAACGACTGCATCGAACGGTGAGATCACCTTTGAACCGAGTGATAGAGGCTTTTTCTTCGAATTCGTCGGGAAGGATGACCTGAAGGGAAAGCATTATCGGATGAAGGTAGACGGTCTACCCGGTCTGTTAGATGTGCGGAAATGTCAGTGCAAACTTGAAGACGATGCTGTACATCTTATTCTACAAAAGAAAAACCCATCTGTTTCATGGTTGAAGGAAATTGGCGATAACCTACCACTTGTCAATTGAAGCACGTGGTGTCTTTCATTTGTATCGGGCACCAGCTGTGTGGTGCTTTGATTGCGATGAACATGACAGCTAATTAGGCTGGCAGATTGTACTTTTACTTGTTTTATCGCTTTCGTTCCGTTTATTTTTAATATACTTTTATGTAACATGTTATTTGGGTCTTTTGAGACTTCTATATGAACTAGTGCTGTTGAGCACCGCAGCAATAGGTGTTCTACGCTGGTTTAGTTACCACAGCTTGTCCATTCAAAGAAGACATCGCCGGAAAGATGTCAATGTCTCTTTCAGGGCATTTGGATAAAATGGTAAATTTGTTGTGCAGATGTTTGGCCCTCGCATTCGATATAGTATTTAGACGCAAACCCTTACACCCATTTGCTAACCTTGGCAGTAAAAATGACCCACAAGTTCCAGATACCAAGAGGACTCGTGATTTATCAGGATTAACATACTTCCAACTGAGAGAATGGTGGTTCCAAGCCATTTCTTAATTTTCGGGTGCTCTCTCAGGGTTTGGGCTATTTGACACTACCCCAAATTTGCAACTTCATTCTCTCTGCGTGGAAGGGTCACCATCGCTCAGTTTAACTTACACCATCGTTTTCTTCATATCAAAGTGCCATGTTTCCATCTCTCACTAGACTACTTGAGGTTTTTCAGGTACCGTTGTGCTGCACCGTCCCGTCTGGCGTTTGTTGATCCCTGTTTTCATAATGCCGTTAAGGAATGTTCTAATCGGTTCAAAGCATTCAGGCCTAGTTACCACACTTACTGATGCGACCCAATAAGCCTCCTTCCAATTAATTGTGGATTTAGTCCATCGTATTCATCTTCTAATCACTGCTTTTCGTTCAACAATATTCACTTGTTGGATATGCCCGGTGTTATCTACGTTGGTTCAGGCTGGCGTTCGTAGGTTGTCCGGAGACCAGCGGCTCTTAATGACTGAACACCATATCGATTGAGCGGGTGTATTAGGTGCGGACTACGAACTGAGCAAAGACTGCCTTGATTGGTCAGAATGTCCGCCAATCTGGATCGAGCTTCTGTAACTCGGCGATTCTCGCCCCCTTAGGAAGACTTTAGCGCGACTTTGTGGAACATTCTACGATGACCCTATGAATAATGCTTTCCCTTTGTCTCCATAAAGGACTGTCTCAAGCTGCCGTGCCTTTTGATATACCATAGTGGACGGGGCAGGAAGCTATGGACCGACCTGGAAGTTGCACCACCGTCGACAAGAAAACGTTTCACCCAGTATTCCATCTTACAAGTAACGTTAATCTGCAGTTATTAATCTTGGAGTTCTATACAGCAGATAAGTCATCAGCCGTTTGCTTCTCGTGGATTCTGAACTGCAGAATTTTCTCTAATTACAAGTAATAAGTGAACTGCTCAGAGAGAAAAATCGTATATCAGAGGATCTACAAATGAGGGGATGGTTCAACAGCAGGTCTCATGATATGAACCATGTGATTGGAGGATAGTGGTGATGTATCCTGGCTAATCGCATTGCTGATCAACCACTCTTGGCCGGATGTTTAAGTATATACTGGAGGTCCAGATCGCTGGGGTTTCGCGAAATGATTTCCATCGCGTGTTCGCTAAAAACTCACTGATAGGGCTTTTCCTAGCTGAATTCCGTTCTGCAAACTGGGGATTTACTAATATGGCGAGGCGCTGTCTTCAGTTCATTTTCCATCTTACCAACGAGGAAGGTTCCAACTTTCACTGCATTTTCGTGAGCCAACAAAATATAACGAAGGTAATGGCGCACTGATACCTTTTTGAAGTGTTTTATCTGACTGTTTACAGATAATCATTGACGGTGTATTCCGAGTGTGTGGTGCGTTTGTCTGCAGCGTGATCCAGGTGCTATCAATTCCGGTCCAGTGCATATAGTCTCCTAAAAAGAACATCTTCAGTGAGCTAGAAAATCGGTTTGAATTCTGATAAGTTTCACCTGCATTTCAACTGTTTGTGAGTTCTAATGTGTTGAATCTAGATACTAAGCCCACTACCACTATTGCAACTGTCATACTGAAGACTTGTCTCGAACGAACACTCATCGTAAGATGCGTTTCCGATTTTCGTCAATTTCCGCAGAGACTTGGAACTACCTGGCCGATGGCTGTGAGCTTCCTCATCCTGCCAGTTTTTATCTTGCTGCTAAGTCTTCTGCACATGTTTTGTACAGCGGTTGCGACGATAAGGTATACGACTTGCTGATTCCTTTGTGTCATTCGCGCAAGCTTCACTGGGGCCTTCTGATTATACCCGTCATCGTCGACTCGTAACTGAACCTAGTGCCAACTCTGTTATTCATACTCGTATGGTCTTGGGGGAGGCGGACCAACAGATAGATAACATAACATCAGGATCGCTGCCATGTTCCCTTGACCGTGGGGAAAGTAAGTGACGGATTTTATTTGTATTCAAACCTGTCTCATGACATGCACAGCATTTGTTAGGGATTCGCTCATGATTCTGAAAAAAAGCAGCAGGAGTGTTCACTCAAGGAGGGGTACTAAGAGTGTTTCCTGTACGACCCTAATGTAGATTCCAGTGTGGATTCGTCGCGCGTTTCGTCCAGTTCCGTCTTTAGCCTTGAACTCGTGTTTGCACGAACGTTGGCCCAACACATTACATACCCTTGATCTGAAAGCGCTCGCGAGATGTTTGCTCAACAGATAAACAGTGGTACTCTCTAAGCTTATGACAGCCTCAATCTCGAGCTTTCCGGAGAACACTTTTCTCTCAGATGCATTACACTAGTAGGCTGTTATCCAATTAGCCTTTTGCCGTTTATCTTGACCTTCGCCAGGACTGAACTTTAAATATCTTTGTCTTTTCTGGCCGCGTTACCCAACAAATGAATTTCGATATCAATAGCTACTTTGTTGAAACAGGGGAGGCACAATTTCACTGTTCAGCTTTAATTTATTTCACTCTGTCTCTGAATGCGTGCCTCCATTCTCAGTAGTTCTTCGGAGTTTATAGACCGAACAGTCCGTTTAGCTTACGGTTGATTCTACTTGTACCTTGTACCACACTAGGTGACCGGTTGTCGCGACGTGAACTGTTCTTGGCTTGAGTTGTTTCGCTTTGGACAAGCCAACGACACTGTTCATCTGGTGCTTGCCATTCTTGTCTACAGGATACTGACTTTTTCGATGTGGGTTCCAGTTCCGTTCACATGAATGCGGGTCTTCTTGTTCCATTCCGTTTTGACCATACTCGACACACCATCGGTCGCAGCCTCTGGTGACTATGATCTGCTTCAGTCCATTTCACACACAATAGTGTGATACTTCTTCCGGTCCAAAACTACTTATCACGGAAAGTCTTTTGGACCAGTACACTCTACCCTATACCTGATAAACGGGGTGACTCATTTCTAAAGCAGGATTCTGTTTTCCAATGGACCGGTGCGCTTATGCCAGCAGAACTAGGTGTATTCAGTTGCCCAATATCCGGCTTTTCGAATTCGATTTGGGTTGGCTGCTTGAATACCGTTTCCAAAGACGCTCAATCTATTCGATGGTGAACTGATCAAACTGCTGCCTCACTTCTTATCATTCTTATCCCTGTATTCTAACACCCAAGGTTGATGGCTTCGGCCGAATAGGTTTTGAAAACCCCCTTTGTAAGCTGTCTTGACAGCCAACTGGCGTTACGCCAGAGGAGCCTTTGGAATATATGCTTTGCTGTAGCGCTGATCCAGAAAAAAAAGCAACATCACAGAGACCTGAAATCCGGAATGAACCGTAGCTGATGCAGTAGAAAAACGAACCATCAGGCTTATCTAAGAGCGAGAAAAATGTATGCGATAGCTCTGGTTTTAGACTTAAATCATGGTAACCACCCATCGGAAATGATTCACAGTCCAAACCGAAACTAGGGACACCTGTGAACAATAAGAGAAAGTGAACTTAGTCAATTTCACTGGATTCAACTCGAAAGTTGACTTTGACCGTTGCTTCAGATAGTATGTAAAGTTGGCGAAGCGGTATTCGATGGTTTATACTACCATCGACTGATGGCTGCTGGAGTTCGCTAACAGATGCCCCACTTCCCCCCTTGTTTTTTTCGGTTACAGGGTATGCAGTCACGTTAATGTGCACGACACCTAATTTTGCTGTCTTAGTGATTCAGGTATCTGGCTTTGGTGAACTCTAACCTATGCTTGATTCTTACTGTGAGCGATTCTCGTTCAGTGTATTTTTATCACCATTCGCACTAGAACGCCGTAACCAGATGAATGAAAGCTACGGTAGGATTTCTCGCAATGTGGCAGTATTCACGGACTTTCGATTTTCTGGCTTTTGGCAATCACATCGCTCGGACGCGAACACGTTGACTTGTTAAGACTACTAATTCATTTGCGCCCAGTATGCGCTGATATGATCGTTCCGTATGTCCGATGTCCAGAGTTCGAGTCCCGATCAGGCCATGGGCATGCACCACTGGTGAGCTCTAATGAAACGGAAGCTCCAATTCCTTCCTTCATTTTAACAAAAAACAGTCAGGCTAGGATAGAAATAGAACTGTCCAAATGAAGGTGATGTGAATGAAATTCACCAACACCGATGGTGTCCTCTCGTTTTCTCTCATGACGCTGTGGCTAAACGGTGGTTAATACATTAGAAATCCGATACATCAGCGTGAAATCATTAACTTGAGTTTGTCAAGGGATTCCAATATTACTTCACTTCCAGCTATGCAGCTATTGAAATAAGGGGTTATGTCAAAGTATTTTTACAGCAATATCCAGGCAGGAACACAAAGATCCTAGTTGAGCGGTGTTCTTGGGGAAATAATTTATCCTACTAATCCGGATTCTCACTGCATGGTTGTTTCTTTTTCTGAATATTTGGTAATTTCTATTGTTTAAGTCATCTGTTCGAAACGTCTTTGTCGTTAGATGTACTTGCTTGTCCGTCACTCAGAATATGAGACCCAACCCAAATGACAACCCCACGAATAAATCAACTACTGTG